GTGTTTCTATTGGTTGGAGATCTGTCAATTCGTCCTCCGTTCGTAAGACGGCGGACGAATTGACAGATCTCCAACCAATAGAAACACTTTCGTACAAACGGATGCATGGGAGACGGACTTTAGATCGCCATTCCTTTAAAAGCCCTCAAATCTTTCAGCCTTACTGAGTACCGATGCACCGCAAACGGCCTGCAGTTGAGCTGCTCCGGCATGACTGCCCATCAGCTACTAGCGAACGTCTCAGCTACCATCAATAAATCGCAGATCAACAGCCTAGATGTCTCGGGTGGGCTCCTGCCCACCATCTACGCGTCCACCCTAAGCAATTTCTCCCGTTTGCAAAGCTTCTACGCGAGAAACTGCCGAATGGAGCTGCTGCAAGATGACGCCTTTTCCGGCCACCCCTTGCTCCAAGACGTGGACCTAAGCGACAACCTGCTCTGCAGCTTTAATTCGCGCCCGTTCCCACTGGAGAACAGCCTCAAAACCCTGAATCTCGCCAACAATCTGCTGGAGGATTTGTCGCGGTTCGACATCGCCCGGTTCCCGAAGCTGCACATCCTCAACCTGACCAACAACCTGCTGCAGTTCCTTCCGGCCGACATCCTGCAGACTCTGCAACTGCCAAACAAGTTCCATCTGCTGGCGGACAACAACCCTTGGAACTGCTCGCATCCCGATTGGTCGGAACTGCTCGTCGGCAAACTGCTGCTGGCCTTCTGCACCAACCAGACCTTCGACTACGCGCCCCAACGCGAACCTTTGCAGGAAAGCCTCGATCGTGCGGCGCCAGCTTGCGAGCCTCCCAACTGTTACAAGTGCAGCTTCAACTTCTGCTTGTTGTGGCTGTTTTGCGGCGTCTGGATCGGCATCATCGTGGGCAACTTGCCGAAGCTCCGCACGCTCCTGTGCGTGAAACCAACCGCTTACGCAGACGGCACCACCCAGTGCGGTATGTGCAAATGAACCAGCTCAACCCCACCTAATCACACCGCACTGTTTTCCAGACTATTCGGTGGTTGATCAGCGCTTGATGTCTGGAATACTCGTCACCAGAACGCCCAAGTTCCCTACGGCCACCACACGTCTATGAACCAGCGCTA